CAGTGTCACAGAGGACTCCAGCAGGGGATGCTGAGGGCCTGTGCGTCCTCCCACTGCTCCTGCTGCCCCTGGGTGCAGAGATTCCTTCCCTGGCTGGGAGGGGAGGGTGCATCACTTACTCCTTGGCTGACATTTCATCCACCTACTTCTCATACATTTTTAAAACCAAACCTTAAACCATCCAAGTTTGAACACCATTCTTTGCTATGCTCTTTTGTACCAGAAATTGTGTATTAAACTTTTCCCAAGCTCCAAAGCAGTTGAGATGCAACTTCTTAGTGGTTTTTATGCAAGATTTAGCACCGGCATTAGTGCTGGGATTACCTTTTCTTTAAAATTAGACAATTTTTCTTAGGAACTACAGCCTGTCCTGGGGAAGAGTCTCCACCCACTTGCCAGCACAGCTGTGATAGATGGGTTGAGTTTTAAATACAGCAGAGACAGAGAGATCAATTCTGTCAGAGACTTTCAGTGAAGGAGTGGTGACATTTAACTGTTGAACGAGGCTGATCCCCAGCTCGCTCCAGGCTGCTGAGGTATTTTGTATAAGGAGAAGGGCTCACTGATTTGATTCTCAGCATCTCTGATCAACCCCCTTCTATAGAATCAGAATAAACCAGTAGATTTTTACCTGCTTTACTGCTGTCAGGGTACATGACCTGATGTTTGCAAAACACTCAGATGCAGGACCTGGGACACCAACTTCTAACAAACCTGTACAACTCAGAGGTGGTGCTGAGCATCATTTATTACTGATTCTGACCAAATCCTTCCCAGGGAGCGAGAGGAGAGTGGTGTGAGATGGTCCAAGGCACTGTGCCCTTCTCATTTAGAGCACAAGGACACAGGCAAAACAATCCTATCAGTGTAAGGGAACTGGGACTGAAGCAGCTGCTGAATGTTTTCAATAGACTTCCTGGTAATGGCTGGTACAATTTCATTAGGGCTTCTCATTTTATTTAATAAAGCACTGGATTATTTTATCTGTAATTCAGCAACAGGTGCAGGAAAACAAAAGGCACATTTCCTGATAGTGTCCACAAAGAGTCCATTCCTGCCTGGCTGGCACGGAGGCATTTGCTCTGCCATGTGTATTTTTCTGTATGTGAAAATAATGGTCACTCAGAAAAAAAATTGTTCTGTGATAAAAGACATTAGAGAGAGTTAGTTAGTAATGGCAGTGTGCAAAGGGTTTCAGTGCAAGTCGAAAGAAGGAGAGCTAACAGGACTGAGTAAACACTGATCCTGCTTTAGATAAAGAGCAAATCGTTCTCTGCAGGTGGCAACAACCATTAATCCTCATCATGTGCAACAGAAGCCAAACAATGAAAAGGCTCAGCTTGTGATCCCCAAAAGTACTCAGGAGCCTGGATCCAGTGAAGGATGTAGGCGCTTAGGAGAGAGACACTTTGGCATTTTACCTTTGCTAGTCAATAAATGGAACGTGGAGCAGAGCCCTGGGTGACTCTCACTGGCCCTCAGTAAATTCTTATTTTCTCTTTCTGGCACATGAGTCTTCAACCAGTAATTAGGTTGTTGGTTGGGAATCAGAAGATGGAGTTTTGAATTCTTTACACTGAGGGTGGGATTTAAATTACATTTCCACCCTTTTAAGCTTCCTTTTAAGTGAAAGTGCCACTACAGAATTTGTTTAAAAGTAAAGTCTACCAGGAGGCAGTGATATACCAAAAGGTTACAGAAGGTTACTGGCTCAGCTTTGGTATTTGTGGGCAGCACAAGGAGAGTCAGCTCACACCCTGCACTCCATGTTGGCTTTAGTCTCAGTTTTAGTTCCTTATCAAAGTGACCAGCAAGCCACCAACGGGGTTTTATAAATTACTGGTTCACGTGATGTAGTTTCCAGAGCCTTGCTCGTACTTTCTTTCTTCTAGTTCCCTGAAAAATTACTCGTGTCAAAGACAAGCCAAGAAACACCAACACTGCAGGGCCACCATGGGCACCAGGAAAGGTCACATCTTGTGCAGTGAAAGCACATGGTGGGCACACAAACCAAGGAACCACCACTCCTGAAAAATCCATGGATTCAACTCTACACTGTGTTCACTGGATTTTCACTGAATAATCAGAGTTGAGATTCTATAACAAGATTGCCTTCAAGTTAAAATTACTACAGAAATGTGTTTCTCCTCAACAAGAGCTTCCCAAGAACAAACCTGTTACTTTTAAGATAAGCACCTCAAATGAAGATCTAAAGCCACATTGTCTGTGCTCTTATAAGATTCCTGAAAAGGAAATGAAAACGTCTTGCAAATGGGAGACCGGTCAAGCATTTTCTTCTTTAAAAATAAAGTTAGATAAAAATAAAGTTGGTTAAATAGTTCATTAGTTACATACTCTATTAGTTAAATATTTTATTAAAAAATTTAAATCTTCATAACCACCATCCTGTCTTCCTGAGCCATGCAGCCTTTCAGGAACAGCAGCTCCACAACTGCTTGCCATTGCAAAACTCCAGCTGCTGATCCTGTGCTGACAAGGCACAAAATCTAATATAGGGCATTAAACATTCTCAGCTGGGCAACACCCAGTTAAAGGCACATCGAGGGGAGGATGCAGGCAAGGCTGTACCAGACTGGAACTCATCCCTGCAGACAAATGTGTTCCAGAGAACATTCCACAATGACCACGGTCTGCTGCCCGCTCTGCCCACGGCTGTGGTGACCATCCCTCTCCAAACTGAGTCTCCCCCAGCCCCTCACTGCTCAGGAGAGGGAGTTTTCACAATCATTTTTGCAGGAGTTCACAGTGTGTTTTGCAGGAGATCACAGTGAGCAGCTTTCCCCACTCGTGGCATCAAAATACAAACATATGCACTTGATCTCCTTGTCTTCTCCCACATGGCTCGAGGTGGCCGAGATGCCAACATCAGATTTCTTGAAATACACAAAAGTGAGGTTTAAATTGTTTTCTTCTGCTCAACAGTATAAACGGTCAGGTGGCAACGAGCTTCTGAAGCACAGCACGTCCCAAACAGGAAGGGCAGGGGAAAAGCAAAGATTCAGTTCTAACTGCAGAGGAAGAACACCCCACACTTCTCCACGGAAAGGAGCTGTATTCATTATCTGCACCTGCCCCTGTCTGAAGGAAACCTCCTGGCCCAAATCAGGCAGAAGCAACATGCAGGAACTGTAATGGTCCACACTGCTCTTCTTAAGTGACTTCTGAGGCCACAGGGAGGAGAGAGTAGAGCCCAACCCCTGCTCAGTGAGGACGCTTTCGTCAGTCACTGTTTCTTTCACAAAGTTATCAAGTTAGATTTGAAATCAGAGAGGTTTTTTTCTCTTCTTGCTTTCCCCTTTGTTCTAAAATCCTATCCTTACAGTTAAGTTCAACAACAGAATTGAAAGTATAAGCAACCAGCAGCAGGAAACAGCCTTGAAGAAGGAAGGAAACCTCATGCAAATATCTTGTTACAACAGAGGAGACGGAGCCATCACACGAGCTTTTAAAAGTGCACGAGCAGCTTTTGCAAGAGGTTTGCTGCATTATTTCACACACCTCATCCTGGAGGAGGACTCTCCTCTGTTTTCACACACAGCTGCCTGCATGCAAATACAAACTGATTTCTTAAACCCTTCTATTGCTGCCCGTGGATACAAATGCAGCCTCTTTAAATCAGGCAGGATGGGCTCAAGCCATTATTTTCAGAACATGATGTTTGTCAAGTACCTGCAAGTTTTCCTGCAAAGGAAGATCCAGCCCTTATCCAGTACTGAGTGGGAGCAGCTTTTCTGGCACGGCGAGAAGAACCTGCAAATGCCAAGTTCTGCATTTGGTTTCCAGGGCATCCCATCTTGCACCATCATTTCTCTGGGATGGAAGATGAGACGCAGTATCCAGGAGCAGAAAACAGGGGTAACCTGTGAGTAATAAGCAAACTTTCAAACCAGCTGAAAAAGGTGGTGGAGGGAAAGGGAAGCTGAGAAGTAGCCACAACATGAAACTGGGATGTAACATGGGCCACATCCATGGGCCACCCTGCTCCACTAGGCATGGATCTGACATAGTCTGGACATCACACACCCACTGGGATTTTTATCAGCAGAAAAATATATCTAAACTGTCCCTGTCCCCTCTTGGTTGCTCATTTCTACCATCCAGGCATCTCCCAATACAGGCCAGTAGAGTATTTTCTGCTGTCATAAAGACAGACATGAACACAGACAAACCAAAACATCCAAACAGCTCCCACTGGGAAAATCATTTTCACTGCTTTGCCTTGGGTTAGAACTCAGAAGAAGAAAACTACTCTTGAAGGCATTAGCCTTCAGATACTTGTGGGTGGACTGAGTATTCAGAAGGTGCAATACCCTCTCAGGTGTAAACAGCTTCTTATTATACTCCAGTTTGTGCAACAATCCTGGGAAAAGTGGTTTGGACAAGTAACTATTGCCAGTGTGAATGCTGCTGGAGATTACTTGAAGCTCTCACGTTTTTCACAGTACTGATCACTTTTTTTTTTCCCTGTGAAGTTATTTAATCCTTCAGATGAACCATGGAAGGAGAAAGGGAAAATAAAAAGGGGGGGAAAAAAAATCTCTACTTATATCTGAATTTAATTCCAGAGAGTTAGTTGCTTTCAGAGAAAGTCCTTCCAGCCACTTGACACTTGTATACATCAAACAATGCCCAAAGGGAGCATCCTGTGCTCTCTGCTATGCAGCCAAGTCCCGAGGGTTCTGAGGGCTCCCGCTGAAGCGCCCTCACCTCCCACCATCGCCTTCCCCCCCACCCCACACACACATAACACGTTTAGAACCCAAAGCGTTTCTCTGCCACATCCATAAGTATTTGGGAGCCCCAGGGCTCTGAGGTACCACGGGGCGCTTCGTCTCCCTCGGCCAGGGGATCAGACACAAGGGGGTTGCGTGGTGCTATATGTGCTACATGTTATCTGTTAGATGTGTGATGTGTGTTGTGTTACGTTTCCCTGGACACGATCCCGCCCCGTCCCGCCCCGTCCCGCCCGGTCCCCGCCGGGGAGGAGGCGATGGCGCGGGACAGGAGCGGCGGCCGCAGGTGGGTGCCGGGGCCGGGCGTGGGGAGCAGGAGCAGCCCCTCGGAGCCCCCTCCGCCGCCTCCTTCCCTCCCTGTGCCTGCGGGGAGCAGCAGGATCCCGCCGGGAGGGCCGGGGGCAGCGGCCGGGAGCGCCCGGGAGGAGGCGCGGGCAGCGCCGGTCCCTCCGTGCGCAGGGTGCGGGTTGTGCCCGCAGCCGGGTCCGCACAGCCTGGATGGTGATTCCGCGTTACAATATATAAGTTATTGTTATTATTATTATTATTATACACTTACCGAGCGGGACCGTGTTCTCGTGCAGGTTTCCTTTTCCGCGGACAGGAGCGCAGCGTCCGGTACGTGAAGACGAAACATGGACGGAATTAAGTCGTTCTGTGAGACGTATCAGGTGTTAGAGGATGCACTTGAGCCGATAAAGGGTGAAGCGCTGAGCCCAGGTAGGCTTGTAAACACGTATCTGTGTATCTGTTCATACTTCTCAAGCTGTACTGCCAAGGACTTCTAGTTGCTCCAACTCTGCCTTTCAGGACACACGAACTCAATCGTGCACTAACTCCAGTGTTCAATGACTGGCAAGTGGGTGACAAAACACAGCTGTCTATTTAAATCCAGCTGATAACACAGAGCCTAGAGAGGCAACTCCTCTTTACTTCTGCTCTTCTCTGCTCTCGCTGAGGTCACTGATGCCATCCTGCTTCTTCAAGGAAAGAGAAGCAAGCATGGAAAGCTTTGTCTAATTTGTCTTGCTGATTTACATGAAGCCATCCTGTGTTCATTTTCCTTAGGAATTAACACACAGAAAAGAGTTATCATAAGGAAACTTACGGAAGTCCGAAGGAAAACCAGCTCTTCTGAGGTGTCTGTCATTGTAGCACTCACATTGTTTAAAGGTGAACAAAAGAGGCCAGTCACTAATGAAGCCTGTGTGTTTTGGATTGCCTCGGAGTTCCAGGACTTTGGAAAAGGATGGGCTGCATTGATGCTTTTTCTGCTTTCAGGACACTTCTGCAGTCTCAATTTCTCACAGGTTGTATGAGCATCACGAACTGTGAGGCCACACTGCAATATCTCTTGTACAATTTCAGTAATTGTCTAATTTCTTCAAAATGTGTAGGAGCTCTGAACCTCCATCCCTCCACCCAGCAGCACAGAAAGACCTCTTTGCTTTCTAAAGGAAAGGAGCACAGTCACCCTTATTTCCTAAACCTTTCCTTGGGACAGCAACTAGAAAAGTAACTTATGGCTATGTTGACCTGGTAACTCTCAAAAATGTAATTCGAAGAACATAAAATTTAAACACTTGTTGGCAATTTAATGATGTGTTAGTGAAGTTATTTACTCTTAATTAAGGAGCCTGGAAAACTCAGAGTAAATTGGGTACTTGCTATGATGGAGAATTAACTAACTGGTAGAGGTACCGAGAAATAAATTTTTTTTAACTTTTTCCTTTTCAGAGATGAAGCACTGTGCCCTGTGACACTTATCTTTGCTGTCTTCACCACTGGAGGATGGCTGCCAGACTCTGTGAAAATGGTTCTGGTCGGTACCACTGCACCCACGGCAACCAAACTCTTGAAACCAGCTGCGTGTTGCTCCTGATCATGCTCGGAAAAGTCTTCCTCGATTTCTTCATGTTGCAAGTCAAGCCAAAAAACGTGAAAGCCAGTTTTATGGGATACTTTTGCATTTCAGTGGCACTTCTCGATCTCACGCTGCTGCTGATCTTCTGTTTCATTTTCTGTTTCGAGGACTTTGCGCTCTGGGGGATGCGGTTCACCAAGTACCACATCTGCCTCTTCACCCAGATCACCTCTCTCACCTGCGGAATTCTGCACTACCCCGTGTACCTCGTGGCTGCTCTGGACTATTACACCACTGTCTCCCAGACATCCCAGTTCTCTAAAAGAGGCCAGAAATTACTGTACGTGTTCGCTGTGGTGGTTATATGGATTTCAGGGTTTTTCTGTATTCTGAAAGTTCCCGCTGTCTATGAAGAGCTGGAAATTCAGAAGAGTGTCTCTCCTTACCAGTGCCCTGTCTCTGCCAGCCTGCAGAGCTACTCAGTCTCGTGTGCCATGGTGCTGCTCCTGGGCACTGCTCTCCTGGCTCGCTGGAAGGAGGTGGTGACCACCCTGCTGTCTGCCAGGCTCGTCTCCATCTCCAGTCAGCCTGCTTTGATGTTCTCCTACACGTCCAACACCACCACCTGCTTTAAGTGGCAGCTCCTGAGCAGACTCCTCATCTGCTTTCTTGGCACTTGGGCACCTTTAGTTGTTCTCCAGGTCCTGGTTGTGTTCCTGGGAGCGCAGATTCCGGCCTACGTGGACATGAACGTGCCCTGGCTGTACTTCATCAACAGCTTCCTCCTGGCAGCCGTGTACTGGTGCCGGTGCCAGGAGGTCGAGCTGGCAGAGGGGACGTGGAGCTCAGACCCGTTTGTCAGCTGGAAATTCTGCTTTGTGCCGTTTGACAATGAAAACACAGAGCCAGCTGATGAGCCGGGTGTGGTGATTGTCATCTGTTGATGAGCTGCTGGCTGGAAAGGCTGCAATAAGTGTGGGCGCTGAGGTTCTGTGGCTGGGTCCTTACAGACAACACAAGGAAACAGCTCCAGAGCTACACTCCATGGAAAAAAGTCCAATATTGTAGTGAATGTTGCACTGGAGTGCAGGACACTGGTCCCAGTGCACTGCAAGCACTGTCAGTTCACGGGATTCAACCTCAGATTACATGTTTAAAAGACCACTGCTTATATAAACCAAGTTTTCTGTTAAACCTCATGTTTATGACAGAATTTTACATTTCCTTTACATGGAATGATCTCAGGTTTTACAGTACAAAATGGAATAAAGTCTTCAAGGCTGGAGCTACATGCAGGTGCTGATCCAAAGTTCAAACAACTTCTGTGATTTTTTTGAAGTGCATTTTCTTCTTAAAGTCTGGCTTTGTGTCAGCTTGATTGAAGTTAAGGGTTGCTGTCTAACAAGAAATAAATTTTTTTAGTTAATGTAAAGCTACAGCTCCTACAGAAACAGAAACTTTACATGGTACAAAACCAGTGCAAGATGTGCAACTTCCACAGCCACAGGAGAGGTGCTGAAGCTTCGCTGTTTCTTTGCTGCTGCTCCTGTAATGTATAAGTACATATTAAAAATTAAATTACTACAGTCAGAGATCTAAGCAACAAGGTTAATTGCTATATATAAATACATGCCCAAGGCTAAAGAATGGCTTAAATTAAAATACAGTTTATTTTGAAGTCAAAATTACTTTAAAATAGTTAAATATGAAGGGTGACTATGGTAGGGAAAGAATTAGTCAGGCTTCGAGCAAAAATACTCTTAATTTCCGAATTCTTACAGTTTTATAAAGGACTTGGTTTAATTTTGTAGAAGAGAAATAAATGATACACAACCAAAGCAGACAAATGAAAGTAGCATTTATTTCTGAAGCACTGAACTCACAATACAATGTTGTATTGGAAGAGAAACTAAACGATGCTGTAGGTTGGTTAATCATTCCCCCAGACCCACAGGGAACAATGATTTCACACAAGAATACTCATTAAGAAAACTCTGCAGATAACAAAAGGTGCAATTACAAGCAAGTTTAAGCAGCATAGTATAAGGTGCTTTGTTTCAGCATTTGTAGGATGGATTTACCCATTAACAGACAGATTAAAGAAGTTTCACTTCTACAGATCATAACAAATGAGAGAATCTAAAATTCATTCACATGCTAGTTGGTAATAGGAAAGTGCTTCTTAAAAATGACTCACAAAGTGAAGATCATACTTTTACATAATTCACTGTGTGCTCTTCCACTGTAAAATTTAAATTTTTGGGTTATAATTTACACTATTATATATCAATTATAGAGATAGATTTAATTGCAGAATTTAACGCTATGTGGGCTAAATTTTCTTATAAAAGAATATTCCAATATTTCACTCCATAAGAATACACAATCACATCTGAATCATAAATTAATCTTACATTTCTGAAACATATTAAAGTCTGATTATTTTCTTTTTATTACTTCACCCCACATAGTGCTTCTTTCACCCACAGTCTGGGGTAAATTCCTTTGAGGCTTCCATGATGTAATCAAAAGGACACAAGCATTTTTCAGGAGTAGAAAGTGGTTTGGGGGGAAAATCTGTTAAAAAGGCCATCAAAAGGACAGTAAGTGATCAAAAACTGAATTTTAAAACTAGTGCAATAAGAGGAGGCAACACTTAGCAACATATTTTGAAGTGTTTGGCACCACAAATTATTTCATTTTTTTCTGCTGGAAAACGGACTTGGAGGAAATTCTACTTCCATGTTAAAAGTGGGAAAGCACGTACAATGTTAACTGGAAAAACAACCTTAACCAATCACTCCCTGCTCTCTCAAACTGCAGTTGCTGTCAGTTAGTGCAGGAGATGCTATAGGATAAACCATGGCTAAACACAAGGCTTTGACACAGCATTTCTTCAGGTTTTATATAAATTGGACACCCACTGAAATGGGGCTGACAAAATATTTACAAAACCTAATTCCATTTAAAAACCAGCAAATACCTCAAATACAGTAATGCACCAGGCATTTCAGAAGATCATGAAATAACTAATTCCTACAGACTAGGCAGGCAGGGGGAAATTCCTCATTTAAAATTAATTTAACACCAGATGAAGGCAAAGTTATTTTCCAGTCCATTTCAGGTGTGTTTTCCATGGTCTCTGATTCACAAACATACACAGAACTGGAACTGCAACAAGCTGGGTGAGGCTGTTGAGGTGTTTTATTTATCAGTGTGGTTCAGCTGCCCAACCCCTAATTAAAGTTCACACAACATGGCAGAATTGCCAGAGTTGCTGCAGTGCTCCCAAAGCCATCTGAAGTTTTTAAAATGCTATGTTTTTTTTCACAGGGAATCCACAACATGCAGCCAAAACAAACGTTAATGGGTTGATGTTACTGTTAAATTTATTCTTCCATACTTTTAGGGGAAAGTGCCAAAGAGCATCAGCCTTTAGGCTGTTGTGGCAGCAGTGGCACTGCAGCTCTCCACAGAGCATCTACTGGGGTGTCTGAGCCTGAGTCAGTATTTTAAAACATATTATGGTACCTCTCTTTGTAAGCCCACTTCCATCCTTGTTATTCATGGAGGGAGATACCAGTTGTGCAGTGATCTCCATCCTATTTATTGCCTTCCTAGGGATTATGGCTTTTCCTCTGTGCATTTTCTTTAACACCTGGTGCCTCTGGGCTGTCCCAACACTGATCCCTGGATCCAGCCATGAAGCCCTGGACCATGTTCCTCTCTAGAACAGGGTGACAGTTTCACTGCCAGGAAGGACAGAAACCCCGAAATAAAAGAACTGCAGACAACCACTGCTGCATCTCCTCTGTACATGAGCCTTACACATTTCAAATACTTTACAGCCTTTAATTCTTATAGGATTATTTGATATTAATGGTAAGAGCAGCTGAAGTGTTAACTCTTAATGAGAAACTTCTGTACTTTCCTCATATAAAGAATGTCTTACAAATCAACACTGATTGTAATGAGATATTCTATGTCTTTTCAACTCTGAGTATTTGGCACTAAATGATAAAGCCCTTCATCCTTACACCTTTCCTGATCAGTACTGGTTTGCTCCCTCTGTGACACAAAGACTACTTAAAAATGAAGCTGAGTGTGCAGAATCTCTTACTGTTCTTTCCAAAAATGACTTTGCAAAAGGCTGCCAGAGGATGGGAATATCCTGGCAAGGTAGTGGAGGACAACATAAGCCTTCCCACAGGCTGCCTGGGCTTCATCCACAGGGCAGATACACCTCAGGAATCAATTACATCTCTGCTTGGAGCCTAATCCCATAATCAGCACACATACCCTCATTTAGGACTAGGAACAACACTACAAGCCTCTCAACAACCCTATGAACCAACACAGTGCTTTTAAAACACAATTAGAATGCTCCTTAAGTGTTATGTATTGCACTTAAACATTATTTATGATCATTATTCTATGAATGTACAATTCTGCTCAAGTTATAATTACTTGAAGAGGAAAAATCTTTTTAAGTCTCTTTTTTGTAGCTCCTTGCTGTACAGAGTTATTTTGGATAATTTAGAAGGAATATATGCTGAAAGTTTAACATGTTTTAACTTGAAATCTGTTCACAACACTGACTCCCAGAACCACACTCTGGAAAAGTTAGATCCACAGCTAAAAAAGCTGGAATATGAGCTTCCTATATACCTGCAATGAAAAACATATTCACGACTTTGAACTTTTGCTTTTTTCCTTCCACATCACTGTAAGGGATCAGTAAATACTGCACACAGCCTTCAAGGGAACGAGCAGGTGTGTGTGGGTTTTAATGCTGAGGTTACACAAACCTACACAGCTTAAGGTGGGGCCTTGAGCACATGTGAAAGCGCTGACCACGAGACCCAGGGGATAAAGCAGGACACAGCTGGCACTTGTCTGGCCCAGAATCACCACCTCTTGTTTAAATGTCAGTATTTGCAAAGCCATCCAGGGGATGTAACTACACAGAACTGATCAGGTCTAAATAAATTCTCAAGACTAAAGGCAAATTCTTTTAAAATTAACCTAATTTAGGGTTATCTTAAATGAGCTAAGCATTAAATGAGTTTAAATTTCTTTCTCCTCACAATATTTCCTGTCTCAAACTGCAGCCCACTGAGCAAGAATGACTTGAAAATTAATTCACTACAAGCAACTAACATCTTACATTGAAATTACTCATTTATAGCTCTGCTCATACCTGTTCTACTCAGCACTGAACAGAAACAACATATTGAAAACAAAATACTCTGAAATGTTAGTTTGTCTCCATCTCTAATAAACTAATTAAGTTGAACATTAAAAAAAGTATCCTAGATTGATTGTTTTGCAGAGTCATTATCTGCAGCCTGGAACAATCGATGAGTAGAAGTTTGGTTAATGATAACAACTGTATTTCTAAATATATGCTAATAGGACATCTGTATGCAATATGGTGAGAAAATAACCCTGCAAGCTTTTTTATACATGCTTAGTTTGAATGAACTTGAGTAGTCTCAATAGAATCAGAACTACTCGTTATAAATTATGTGGATGCCTAATTATCTGCAAAACCACAACTCCTAAAACAGGTGTCACCGAATTCTCTGATCATTCAGAGCTCTGCACTTGTCAGTGTGTAAGAAATCTGTTAAGCTGTTGAGCTGGAAGTTCCTGCAATGATACAGTGATATTAAAATGAGAACAGTCACCTGGAATAGGCATTAGTTTTAGCTGGCATGCCAGGCAGTGACACACTACACCCAGCCCAGTCTCATGAGAAACTTCCATTCAACCCACACCTTTCCTAATGTTTCCTTACAGCTGTCACAGACCTGCTCAAAATACTTGGGTTTATCCTATTCCTTTCCTCTTGCTGCTACATCTGCACTTAGGGTAGATGCCATCTTTCTATCCAAAAGGCTGGATTACTACCTGTGATTTGTCCAAAAAGAAGTCAGGGGGTAAAAAAAAAAAAATATTTTCACAGGAAAGAAATGAGGAAATGGATGTTTTCAGGACATAAACCTTCCATTTAAGATATCTCATAGATAAAAACCTAGCAAAGGTTCTATCTGCCATCCAGAACTTCATTTCTGGAAAAAATATGATGGATTAATGGGTAAAGAAGGGATTTACAAAACTGTCTGTCTAAAAACCCTTCAAACACTCTCTGGTGATCCAGGACAAGGTGGCCAAGCTTCCTCACCAGAGTTCCCTGCTCCTGCTGCAAAGCTCAGTGATGTGAGCCATATGAAGCAGGGGAGGCTGAGCACCCATTTTGATCATTCCTGTGTATTTCTTTAAAACCACAAATAAACCCTGAAGCTGAGACAAGTGTAATAATTCTAATTCTACTTTATGAAATCTTGACAGCCACATTCAGTCCAGTGCTCTGTAAAAGGGTTTGCCCTGAGCTAATGCTGCAGGTTGCATTCAGGAGAAGGGCAGGAT